TACAGTCATGGAGGTTACTTGAGAAAGTCTAAGTAAAGGAAATCAAAGTCTTGCTACTGAGACATTAAACAGTACCTGTCAAGTCATGTTTCCACTTCACCTTTTGGCTGTATGTTCTGTTGGGAGCTGGAGACATGAGAATGGCCAGTGATATGCTTGGCACAAAAAAGATGCTTCTCACAACATTGCCCAGCTTAGAACACTCGTTCCAGCACACAAAGACCCTTGCCTCCTTGGAATTTATCAATGCCCTAGAACTATTTGGAAAATTCACTAACAGTTTATCTTTCTAAAGTCTCTTTTCTACCATCATCTCTATCATCATCTCTTTTGCCACCCCCACTCCACTATCAACATGCTCTCCAAGACAGACCACTACGTTTGGGTTTGAAAAATATGTATGAACAAGCTGCCTGACTCCAAATAAAGGATTTGATGCAGACCCATGTCAACAGAACATGCCCTTTCAACTGTTCTCCTGCGAGTCTGGGTGGGGAATTTTTTCTTACCGATTCCCACTGTACTATCAACAAAGGTATGCTCCTAACTGACAAAGATGAAAAACATATAGATGACAACTGGGTTGAGCCTATGGAATGTCAAAGACAGTTGGAAAACTGAAGTACATTGGTTAGCATCGGTAGGTTATGCTGCATTAACAAATACCCTAAACTCTTATAAACAGATTTAGCTCTCATTTAAAACTAATGTCCAACATGGATCAGCAAAGGGTTTTGCTTTTTTATAGTCAGAACCCAATGATTACAGCAGGTAGAAGAGTAAATGGCAAACTGTGCACTAGCTTTTCAAGTTTCTGCCAGTTGGTCACACCAAAGGATGCAGCGATGTACAAACATATCATGCACAGGAGAGAAAATCCCGAATGTCCATAAGGAACCCCAATGACTACAATAGATTGAAATGGCCCCTGTGGAGGGTCAAGCCTGGGCTTTCAGCCTCCCCAGCAACATGTTTTAGCTCTTACTATAGCTAGGTTTATGGAAGACCTATTACGTGCCAGGTAATTTGTTAGGCACTTTACACAGTCACACACTCAGAATTCCTGCAATCAGGTTAAGGCCAGTTAAGCAACTGGTGAGTGACAGAAGGATTTCAAGCTGGGGTGTCTAACCACAAAGCCTTGGTTCCTTTTAATTCCCTGCCCATTTTCCCAATTTTGCAGCAAGTTACCAGGCCCAGTTTCATCTAGCAGTTCATAACAGACACAAATGGTGGTGTGCCTGTCCTCGAGGCCTTACAGTGTACCCAAGTATCCACTTCACTGCCTTTGCGGGGGGTGGGGGGCACAGAGCCACCATTTCTTTACCGGAGCTTCCCAAACTCTCCAGTCTTTCACTTTCTTCATCCTGGCCAAAGCCAAAGAAGCAACAAGCAAGCTCCCACCTAAGAAATTTTCTCCTAAGCAATTCCCCAATCGAGTACGTTTATCAGAGTGATGCTAAATAAGATGCAAGTGCAAATAATTTAATTTTTTAAAATGTCAGCTTCCTGTTGCCATAGATCAATTAAACCCTCTTGACTTTATTGCCAGATTGACACAGGCGTATTTATCACTGTTTGCCACGGGAGCCCTGCTCTGCCCGCTGTGTTCAACAAGCTCAGCAAGCAACCCACTCAAACCACTCAGGACTCAGGGCCCTTGGGGGCATGGGATGGGCACCACAGAGAACTCTGTCCTTTCCCAATCCTGGGAAAAAGGAAAACTGAAGCTGGAATAGCTCATTAACAAGTTCTTTTTGCCTTGAACAGATCAAGGAACTAGCACTGGCTAAAGCACAGGATCTCTTTATTGATGACAGTAAAAATAAAATATGAAAACCTCAAAAACAAGTTCAAGGAAGAGTTTGGGACAATGGTACTCAAATATTCTTAGTAGCAGAAATTGGTAGAACCTCTCTTGAGGGCAATCTGACATCTTCATCAGAGCCCTCTGACAATTCAGGTCTCTAGGAATTTATCCCAAGAAACTAATCAGAGACCTATTCATGAGTATTACAAGAATATTATAACATATTTTTAACAGCAAAAATCTGGAAACAATCTAAATCTCCAACACTAAGAAATAAGAAACCATTAAAAACTGTAATGCAGTATTTAATGATAGGAAAATGCTTCCAACACAATGTGAGCAACAGCATCATTTTTAAATATTTGGCATTATAAAAGATTGGAAGACAATAAAATGTCAGCAGTGGTAATTTCCAGTGGTTAAGATTATCAGTGATTTGAAAGAAAGAGCATTTCCTTATACTTTTGAGTTTAACATTTCTATATTGATCATGTTTCTATTTAAAAAAGCAATCCTCAAAAACTTAAAGTATGATTTCATGCAGACGCAGACATTGGACTTGTGATCATTAATGCATTCAAATTCAAGAAGCAACACTCCTCTCAAGCATTACCTGATGAGCTCTCTAAACCCTCTATCCCCCATTCCAGTGTGGATGGCAATCACCTGTCCCTGGGAATCATGCCTAGGAAGAGTCCGATGTCTTTCATTCCCCCAGAACAGAGTCATAGAAACAGTATAGCCTGAATTTCCACAACCTTCTGCATGGACAGGTAACTATTTTACTATTGGCGGATCCAACAGAAGCAGAGGATTCACAATAGTTAATGCAGGAGAGAAGGCAGAGGTATAACAGGATAAAAGTTTATATGTATAGTGACTTAAAACCAAAGTTTAGAGCTTATAAATCCAGAAGCATCCTTCCCTCCAGCATGAACAGGTGGCCATAGGAAGAATCAGCAGAACCATCACTTTTATGAAGGAGATTAATAATGTTGATGGTGTATGGTTATAAATTAGTGGTAAGACAACAGAGAAGGATGTTCCTAATGAGTAGTTAATTGAAGCCTGGTGCCTCTCTTTTAACTAATATCTTGGCAAGAAAGAATACAATATGGCCACTTAAGACATTCACATTGTAGCATATGCACAAAATAGCTCTGGAGGACTACAAAATGATGAGTAACAGCATGGCAGAGGAGAACTGGAAGGCTAAAAAAATCTACATGTAAAGAAAAATTTTTTCCTACTTTTTGCATGTTTGTTCCTTCTAAAGCCTACACCATGTGCACACCCCTCCGTTGCTCATCCCTGCCCCAATCCAGCTATAACCCAGTGTGGTGATCACACACCAAAAACAACAGGACCCTGATGAGATGGGATGGCACCTCAAACTCAACACTACAGAAATGTTCTCCTCTCAACAAAGGGGAATTAAATTCACAACTCCCCTCCCTCCAAACCTGTTTTACTAACCTCCCTCTCACTGAATTGCCCTGCCTCTAGAACCTGTCCTTTCCAATGATAAATCCTTATATATCCAGCCCCTCAGAGCCCATAGCCCCTTCTCACTACTGACTCTGCTCTTTTCTCTCTCTCTCTCTCTCTCTCTCTCACACACACACACACACACAGACACACACACACCTACCTCTCGGGGTCCAGCCCATTCTCTGCCAAAGGGAGGCAGGGCCTCTGCATTTGACAAAGACAGCTCTGTTTCCTCAGACCTGACAGCTCAGTCCCATGACCTGTCCCCGCTGACACACTCCCTCATGAGGCCCAGCCTCCTCCAACCCACATCCGGGCTCCCACCAGCAAGGCAGCCACAGCCTAAGCCACAATGCCCCAAGCTTCTGGAAGCCAGGCACACAGAAAGAGCTCCTTCCAATGTCCAAGCAAAGAAACCCTTTCCCTGCGTCTGCACTGGGGAGCTTTTTAAGGGGCACACACCTCTCAGGCACCATCCAGTCCAGGCTGTGTACTTTTGTCCTGTCCTTGGGTATTAGGACCAAAAATCATCCTTCATTTCTTTAGAGTCAGCATTTCTTTGTTTGGCATCCTCATCACTACCTATTAGTTTGTGACTTTTCAGTTTCCACATCTCCCCAGAAGCATACAAACCCTTGTATGCACGCACTCAGCACCCACTCTCTTTCTACATAACCCTCTGGACATCTCTTCCCAGAAGACCATGCACCTCAGTAAGGACCAGCCCAAAAAGCTCTGTGGGCTTCAAGTCCCCTCTACCCACTGGGGCCTTAACGCCCTCAGTTTCATCCATCTTCTCTCAAATTCTTAATTCCCCAGTGTCCTCAGAGGCTGGGAGAGAAAATACTCCAAGGCGTGGAAACACAAAAATGCCTGAGCCCTGGGTGGGATTCGAGCTCCTCATCTCTTCTTCCACCCCAAGACAGTTTGTTCCTTTCGGAGGACAGGACAGCTTATTAGGAAAACCACCACCCTAACCCCTGCTCATTTATCCCACTGATATCTGCTTTCCAAGTACCTCCTACTTCCCTATTCCAAGCCCCCAAACCACTCACAACTGGTAACCTTCTATGAAGAAATGAAATCACTGTCTGTATCCTCCAATGGAATAATATAGAAGATCACACTTAACTTTTGCCAAGATTGGAACAGTTGTTAGAGTTCCCCTCCCACCTGCCCCATGCCAACAGTGTCTGAATTGCTTTGAAATACCATTTGGGAGAAATCACCACAAAATATTTAAGGTTCCAATTCATTAAAAAAAAAATCAAAGAAAGAAAACACACACATATATGCACCTTACCTGTGATTTGGCATATCTTTGGGAGATGGGGTTACCCGGAAAAGCATTCCTAAGTGCCACAAAATGCTCTTTTTGGTTCCATCTCATTCCTTCCCCAAGAGTATTCTAACTTTTTCTGCATAGGTATCAGTAAAGAAAGGAAAAGAACAATGTAACATGGCAATGGTCCTCTAATAGGACCTCGGGGGAGATGGTCCATGCTCACAGCTTTTTCAGTGGCACAAAGAGGCTAGCCAAAGATTCATCTGAAGCAAAGTCCCACTTTTGGGGTGTGATTCCACATGTCTCAGAGCCCCACACCCTACGCAGAACTGGACGGTGACTTGGACCTAGAGGCCGTGACCAGGGGCACTGGTTCCTCCCTGACCTGGTCTGCATCTTGTGAACAGTACATACCTCAGAAGGTTAAAGCTCAGATCGAGCCTCTTTGCGAAATGTCCACAGTCCCTGCCAAGGTGCTCTGGAATTTCTCTGCAGTCCTGGCCTATGTAGGACACCTGGAAATTAAAGGGAACAGAAACAATGTGGCAAACGGAAATCGCCCAGCTGCTCCCAACCCGGAGTCATTGATCTAAAGATTGCTTCCGCAACTTTAAACGCACGCGCTCCTCACACACAAAAAAGGCCACATTTGTGACTGTTTTCCTGATCAAATCAGCTTTGGGGGCTTCAAGGACTCTGCCAACAGCTCCCCTTTCCTGGTACACTTAGCATGATGGAGACTAATCCCAGCACAATGGAAATTGGACTAAAATTGGCCAGATTCAGGTGTCCAGAAAAGCCCCCATGTCAGAGCACACTGATATAATCACAGCCATCAGCCTCTCGCTCAGGGGCCTTCCCAACAGCTGCCCTTCTGGCTCTCCTCCTCCCTCTCCTCCCCTGTCCCCCCCACCCCCCGCCCAAATACCCTGTGATGCACATTACCTCATAAAAGACACAGCAGATGCACTTACCAGCATTCAACCTGCAGGGTGCTGGAACAAATAGGGTTGGACAAGAAAACCTCCCCAGACCGCCAATCCCATCCTCTTACTGCTTCGTATAAAACGTCCCCCACTCTGTACAAAGCTGATTTGAAGGCGACAGGGAAACGAAAGGTGGCCACAGCTTCCAAGTCTCTCTTCTCCAGGGAGCCTTTTGCAACCAACCCTACTCGGGTTGCAGAGCTCTTCCCTTAGGCCTTCTTTTACTTATTTTATCATTATTAACAACCTCGTGTGTGTCCAAATATTAAGAAGCTGAATTGTAATTTGATGCCACAATTTCTGACTGTAGGAAGGTCAGAGGGCTTCCTCACAGCTCCAACTACTCAATCTTTGAAAACCATTTTTTACAGATAGTTGCCAATTCAACCACAGGGCACGAATTCCAAAATCCATAAAACAAACCCATGGGTGAGAGTTGGCCAGTGGATCAAAACATAGGATACTTCCGTAAAGGACTCCCTACCCCCGACTGCCAGGTAGAAATTCAGGCCTATTACATGCCTACAGTCTTGATCCTTTCTCCCCAAAAACGCATATCCTCCTACACGTAAGGTAAGAATGTCTTGGAATAAGTAAGAGATTCCCCAGGGGGTTATGCTTCCTAATGGGGAACAAGAATATGGTGGCCATATAGAACTCTAGATATTGGGTTGAACATTATGACTAATACTCAATCCTAGAACTACAGAAATAGCACCTTCATAGGACTCAGCCTAATAAAAATCACACTGCACCCTAATACACTCAATTTCCAAGTCTACTCCCCGTCCTATCCAATGGGGTCAAACTGCTGACAGTACAGGATCCTGTACTCACTCCTTTAGTAACTTCATTTCTGGAGGACAGAGGGTGGGGGAGAAAGGACAGAAAAATAGCTGATTCTGATAAGATAATTTGGACTCAGGAAGACACAGCCTAAAAAATAAAGGTCTCAAAGTTCAATCTAGCAACCTCCCTTTTCTACATGGGACCAGCTGTTCCTCAGAACTCCTTGTGTAATAAACTTCTGCTTCCAAACAGAGATGGAAATCATACAGCAAGAAGAGACTGGGGATATAAGGTCCCATTCAATCTACGGACTTCAATTTCCCTCAGGATGCCCACTTGATCAGCAGCAGTTTCTGTATTAGAATATCACATTGACCCTGCAGGCCCACGGAAATGACGAGAAAACCCATCCCTTTTACCCCATCATGCACCCCCATCTTATAGATATCATTATTCAAGATCTCCATGGTGTATACAGCATAGAGGCTGAGGTTTAGATGTGGAAACTGAGCTCTGTCCTTATAGACTCAACCAAGGACTCAATCTTGTAGGGACCCAGTTTCTCAAAACCCCTCATGTTTTTACAAAGAAACTAAGACTTCAGCAGCATGCCCAGGGTAATACAGCTTCTTAATGATAAAGCCCTGCACCAGGAATAGGAACTTCCAATTTGGGAGCCATGGAGTTCTTACAAATCCACACGTGGATGTAGATTTTCTGGATCAATAAACACCAGTGGTACATCTATCATCATGTTTTGGCTTCAAAAATGCATCTTCCTAGCTGAAAGGTCATGAACTACCTCATGATAGGATATTGAGAGCCCCAGAGGAGCATCAGAACCTTGGGAAAGAGAGGGAGATTTGCTCCCCTCCTTCTTCTGTAGGATCCCCTTTCAAGAGGCAAAAGGAGCACCAAGAAAGCTATCACCATGAAGCATGCAGACCATTTACATGCCTAAGAAGGCTTTTATCAGCTTGTTTTATTACAACAGCTTACCCCAACATCCCAGGAAAACTAAAGCACAATTTGTTCTGCAGTGAAGACCAGGTCTCACAAATTTAGTATGAAAACCAACTTGATAAGCCATCTGCATGCTTGGACACCTCACCCCCACCAACCCCCATGCTAAACTGGGAGCATTTAGAGATGTGAGTTAAGCTGACCACATTTAAGGGTCCAAATCTGAGGGACAGGGCTTAAAAGCAGCAAGCAGCCACCACTAGGCACTGTAACCAACACTCATAACGAGAAGAAAGTCATGTTTAGGAAGTGCTCCTGAGTGGAAGACATTACCTCTCAGGATGTCAGGAAGCTTCTTGGAGCATAGGCCCAACCTCATGTAACAAGCCAGAAGAGCCAGACCAAAAACAGTTTGCTACATGAGCAAATAAGGGAAATGGAGATTAATAGACCCTAAATGCCACAGAAGCAAAAGCACACCCAGAAAAAGTCATTGTGTTTAGTCAATTACTTTTAGACTGAAGAGCCAAGTTTTGTACTTTTCATTTGCCTACCTTACAGCACCAGTATCCCAAGACTTCTACCCTGTGTGGAACGGTAACAGAAAGGGACACTACTACCAGGGAAATGAAAACATATGAAGATCCTCCCCCCGACCCCTCACCAAAGAGGAATACGAGAGAGGAAAACAAGAAGGCCTGTGCAAACTTCCCATACCTACACATAGCCAGCCCCTCTGAGCAGAGGCCACAGGGAATTACCAACCTGATCAGAAGACTACAGATTTCTCTTTGCAGTTGAGACAGGCCCTCTGGACATTTTTGAGGACAGATTTGTTAGTAGACTGTGTGTAGAGACAATTATTTTCTGATGCCTGACCCCAACAAGCTGGGGTGGAAGATCCTTGATTTTAAATCTGTACTGAAAGCTCTGTCAGAATAGAAACAGTCCCCATGCTGCTACTTACTGGCTGTGTTATCCTGGATGGGTCACAATCTCAGTTTGTCTCTTCTTCTGTAAACTAGTCTAACACTAACCACATCCAAAAGGTATGACGAATAAGGGAACCAACATTTATTAAAGCCTACCACCTGGCTGTTACCTAGTCAATCTTCATGAAATAGCCCAGTGAGTCATAGATCCCCAACTTACAGCAATGAGAAGATAACATAGAGTACACAGCCCTGTCCTCAGCACCTAGTGGCCACTCGGTAAATATTTGAATCAGACCAATATCCCTAAGAAAGGGATTGGTTATTCCCATGTCTCTTGGCACGAGATTTCAGTGCCCAAATTCCAAGTCTGCATTCGTATCTACAATTATATCGATGCCACTATTTGGTCATCAACTAGTGGAAAAAGAAGATTGAGGACTTAATGCTGATATAAATGATGCATTCAAGCCAAGAGAAGGCCAAATGAAGTCAGATTCATGTTGAATAAAAAGATTTTACAGAGGAGAGTGAAGGGAGGGCTGATATAGGCCAGTGGAATTCCTAAAACCCAGGGCAACAGCAGTCAGTCCGAGGGTGTTGAAAGCAGTGACCTAATTTCAACATCATCCATCTCATTCAATTGTTTTAGTGGTGGTATGGTCTTTTGTTTTTTTGTTGGTTGTGTGTGTGTGCGCGCACTTAAGCCATCTCTTTAGTTGGGGGATAGGTCTCCGTGAACTTCGAAAAAGTTATATCTGGTTTTATGTTTGTACATTTAAGCAACATTGCAATAGAAACAGTATCAATACTATGGTCTCATCAGAAGGCGCCTTTTTTTTTCCTCTTTAAGAAGCCTCTACCAAAATTTGAGAAGTACCACGTGACACACATTCCAAGAACTACTACTTCTTGCGGCTGTCATTAGAAACTAAAAGGGGCAGAATACTTAAAAAAAAAAAAAAAAAATACCCTAAACCCCAGGGCTACCACTCAGATCCACTGGCCTAGGAGGTTCAGGACCTGGGGGACTAACTCCCCAGGAGCATTTTCTCAGCCTGTCTTCTCAGCTCCTCCCCGAGCAGCTCCATCTGCTTAAAACAGCCCCCTAATGCTCAAAATGCCTCACCAACAGGTTAATGATTGCCTTTGAGCCCTTTGGAGTAGGCTAAAAGCAGGGGGTGCAGGAAAATAATCAAGTTAGGGAAACAGGGGAAAAGGAGGCACAAAAAAGTTCTTAGCCCTACTGTTAAGTGCTCCATGAAGTTGGAAGAAGCTACACCCAAAGAATGCTGGGTCTGAAATGCAAAGACCTAGGGTCAGGGGGGAAGAGGACATTCTTGGCAGAGGCCCCCTCCTCCACTTCCTCTAGGCAAGCATGTTAACTCCCAAAAGCCCCTTTCCCTGCCATCTAAATAAGACCCATCATTTTTTTTTTTTTTTTTTTAAGATTTATCTGACAGAGAAAGACACAGCGAGAGAGGGACCACAAGCAGGGGGAGTGGGAGAGGGAGAAGCAGGCTTCTGCCGAGCAGGGAGCCCGATGCGGGGCTCGATCCATGACCCGAGCCGAAGGCAGACGCCCAATGACTGAGCCACCCAGGCGCCCCAAGACCCATCATTTTTAACCTTTCCCACAGGCTGGTACCTCCCTGGCCTGCTCACTTCTGAACTCGGAGAAGGTGGAAACATTTGCCCAGAGTAATCTCAAAAATCTAACTGTGCCTGACACTACCTGCCTTAGGCAATCCAAGGGGTGAGCTTCAAAACCTCAGAACTATTTCTCTAGGGCGTGCAAGGAAAGGCGGGAGGAGGGCTGGCTTAATCAGAGGTTCAAAGGAGAGACCTGGCTTTTCCAGAGGGTAAGAGGCACCGGGGCCCAGCATCCCTCCAGCAATGACTGAGAACACCTGAGGCTCCACTACAGAGCTGAAAGCAAGTGAGGCTAGGTGTCTGTCACCCAGAGTTGAAACTGGAATGTTGCCATTCCTCATAGACACCAGTTCAAGAAGTCATGCGCCGAATGAGCTCTTGCCATTTGCGACAACATGGAGGGACCTAGAGGGTATCATGCTAGGTGTTAAGTCAGAGAAAGACAAATACCATATAATCTCACTTACATGTGGAATCTAAAAAACGAACAAAAAACAAAGGGCAGAATACTTAAAAAAAAAAAAAAAAATACCCTAAACCCCAGGGCTACCACTCAGATCCACTGGCCTAGGAGGTTCAGGACCTGGGGGACTAACTCCCCAGGAGC